CATGCAAGGGACAAAGTGTCTTGTGGCAAACCTATTGAGTAGACAGACAAACAACGCGTTCATTTCAGCGCTAGACAACTTTTGTAGGTTTTGTCATGTAGTACTCATCCTTGTCTTATTCCTTTAACTTTCGAGCTTATCTAGTGTTTCCATCCATAAGTTTCTGCCATGTTTTCTCTATTATTGAGACCATTAACTTCTTTCAGCATCTTCTGCCTCTAAAGCCTGCTGGGAAGTGAAATTGCGTTCATGGCATGAAAGAACTTATCACAAGAGCACTCCTACACAAACACAAAACACATAAAACACACAAAAGAGAACACCTAATATGTTCCATGCTAAACTAAGATAAAAACAACAAAACATACTTAATTAATCATAATTATTCTTATCAAAACAAAATAAAGTCGAGTAATAAAGGCTCAAATATCTCATAAATAGTAAGTTATCAAGCTCATATTACACCCCATACAACAGAGTTGTTCTATGTCGCCCCTCCAAAATCTAAGTTGAGAGTTGTCCATGTCAAAAGATACTATTAACACATGAAATAAATGATCATAAGAAAAAACACATGGTCAGTACAAAGACAAACTTTGTACCCCATCAAAGTCATCTACAATAAGAGAATTCAGTAAAGTACCAAACAAAAAGGAATAAAAACCTATAACTCTCGTCTATAGAAACCTTAATAAAGTAAGCAAGTATGAAAAAAGAGTTTAGGCTTATATGTTACCCTGAAAAAGAAGAAATCAACGACCCATACTCTACTAGAAGAGGTGTCACATGTATGTCAAAATTACTAACTGTCGGAAGAAGATTGGTGAAGATGAAAGAGATTGCAGATACGAGAAAAGAGCTCTCAAAGATTCAGAAATGGTGAAAAGAGGAACATGGTAACCATAGAACTCCTGATATGTCTCCAAAGGAAGATGAATCATGCAATCGTCGGCTTTAGGAAGCGTGAACCACGCCACCAACAATCTATATCTTATTACACACTGTTAAAAAGTACTTAAATGCCCTAGTACTAGAAGAAATTATTAGCATCAAGCGTATGGAGACATGTTGAAATGTACCTGTGAAACGTGTCTAATCCCAAGGGAGACATTTATTGGATATATATCTAAATACATTAATGTCCCACCAAGACTATTTTATTTTACTAGAGGCCAAACTGAAGACGAATTCAGCAAACCCTCGTTATATGATATAGGAACAAGGTCTTAAAGAGGAGATTGTTATGGCTATCCGCAAGGCCCACAAAGAAGGCCCTATAACAAGTGTGAAAAAGAAGGAACACATAACAAGTGAACCATCTTCCCTACCAAGGAGATACGATCACGCCCTCCATCACATCTCTCACCGTTGAATCTAATCGAACAACAACCCTCACAAGATGATGAATCACAGACAAACCATTTTAACCACCCATATCACGCCATTTCAAGTATTCAATTCATTCTCACTCTCAAAAGATATTTTTCACTCAGCTACTAACTTGAGTATGGTAATGCTAACTTTGTAGGTTCACTCCCTCTCAATCGCACTGTAAGTCCAATCCACCGCACCTGAAATTTGATCAAACGTGTCTGAGATTCATTTTATCACTCAGTCACTTATATATGGTTTTCTGAGTAGAAAATCAACCACAATGTGTCTTAAAAACAATATATTAGAGAGTGTATTATGAGAAATTTTTTTAAAAACTAAATCAGAGATCGAATCGGTGAAACATTCGGGTTAAGGTTCAATTGATTAAACCGGTTAAATCTACGATCGAATTGTTTATTAAATAAACTAATAATACCAAACTGAATTTTATAAATATATCACACATAATCGTATGTTCACAACTTAATAAAATAAATATTTTAAAAATCCATTACAAACTTAATATAATAATATCAATAATACATATAATAACACGACACAATTATAGTTGTACACTTAATTTCAAACTTCGTTTAAGAATTATTTAAACAAATTAATGAATTAAAAATAAAATCAATTAAACTAATTCAAATCAAAATTGAAGAATTAAAAATAAAATCAATTAAACTAATTCAAACCAAAATTATAATAATAGAACATAATAATTACAATTAAATTTAAATAATTATGAATACTTAAATTAAATACGATAGAGTTACCAAAAATAAATAATACAACATACTTAGTTGAACAACAATAAGGAATATCAAATTGAACGATGACAAACAAGTCATAATTGACAGCTAAGATTGTAAATGAGTCGAGTCGAACTCGCCTTAACTTGGCTCGATTTGTTTAAAATTGGTTCATTTCAAATCTCAATTCAAGTTTGACATAAATTTTTTTAAACTCAAACTCAATTCATTATAAGTTCAAGAACAATTCGGTTCAACTCGTTATGTTTATCTCATTTGATTCAACTCGTTTGTTTCACAAACTTAAATTATTTTCTTAAAAAACATTATTTATATAATGTTGAACTTATTTGTAGAATTACTTTTAAAAATAGTTTGCTCACTTGAGAATATAAATGACCAATTAAAACAGCTAGATTAAAAAAAATATATAAAGCTAAGATTTGGAGTAAACATTTGAGACAATATAACTCTTCTCATATATACTTGAATTGACTAATGAATCTAATGAGTCAAATTATGTATAGTTTAAGTTTAACTCATTTAATTAACAAATTTAGTTTTTTTCTTCCTCTCATATTCAGCTCATTTGGTTCATTCAATTCATTATCAGTCCTATTGACCATAAAAAATAATATTGATTTAAACAACAATTAATATTAAAAAAAAACTATAACGGAATGATAGATTTAAAATTTTGTATGATTTAAAAAAAATAAAGAATTCTTGTGTGAGAAATGTCACATATTAAAAATTTTCAGACAAATTATTAAAAAATACTCATCGATGCATTTTTTTAATCAAACGGTTTTAAATCATCTCTAATTATTTTGTTCGAACGATTTTAAACAATCCAATTCAATTTTATTTTATTTTATTCCGGTTTTGAACCACCAATTATTTTTAAAGGTTGATCGAAACAGATTCAACTCCAATTTCAAATCTAACCGGTTGAACTAATCGATTTCGTCAAACTTTAAAACATTGATTATGAACAACTCTCAATACTTTTCATCATTATTAATTTTTAAATTAAATTGAAAAAGTTAAACACAAACCCTTTGCAAATATAGAAAGCAATAAGTTGTATCAATAAGTTGTATCAATTTCCCTCTCATCAAACCATATAGAATTATGAATCATAGCTTTGCATTAGTCAACATCTCACTCTCACCAAAAGGGGAGCCAGCAAACTTACAATGTTTCATACGCTAAAGAAAAATAAAGTAATAAAGTATTTAACGACATGGCCGTTTTTGGCCATTAACCATATAAACGACAACTTTGCCACCTCCCAACTTTCCCTTGCATACATCAATATTTTCAAAAATTAATATTAATTTTTTGTCGGCCTTAGCCATAGGTACAGAAGCTACAGAAGAAAGTAAAAATATTTAATCCAATATTATATTTACTTTATAAAGTGAATGACATTTTATATAATGTGGCGTACACAAAAAAGAAAAGAAAAAAGAACAAGTAATGAAAATATCAGAAACAGTAGATGCAAGGCGTGGCGAAAGATTTTGTACAAGTGGCCATTACTGGATTTGAAAGGATCTATTAAATTCAGTTTAATTTCAATTTCAAATTTCAAATTAAATAATCAACCCTATTAAACCCTGCCAGATAATCAACAATTAATTAATTTAATTTAATTAATATGAATCTGAAAGGGCACATGCACATGGACTTGTTGCTAGGTTGGACCCCCTAACAGAAGACGCGTAGATCAACTCTTTAAGCAACACGTGTACGGCTCTAATCGCGTTGGAATATTATAGCCAGCTCAACAACCACCACGCCATACACCGTATATACGCCGTATGTATACGGTGTCCCCGATATACGACACGTGTGTGATGACGTGGACATCACCCTCGCGCTCCTTTCTTCTTCATCTTTCTTTTTTTTTTCTGTGTCAAACAAACCATTCATAGAGAGAGAAACAGTTTTTTCTTTCCCTCGTTTTCTAGAGAGAGAAAATGCATAATTCTACTACATCTCTCTAATTCCTTCTCCAAATCTCAACCGTTTTTTTCTTCTAATTCTTTTAGGTATGAAGAATTCTGTTATTGATTTAGTTGAAAATTGAATGTGTGCTAGTTTTTCAAGTTTCATGATTCAGTGTTACTGAAAGCTTCTAATTATCTTGATAATTTTAGTTTTTTTTTTTTAAAATTAAAATTAAAATTATAGTTTATATTTTTTCTATTTGTTGTTGTTGATTTGGTTCAAAATTCTGATTAGGTTTTTCACTATCACTGAATCAGTAGCTGAAAGAAACTGGATCGGGGTTAGTTCATGAGTTTAATAACTTTTTTCAGTTTTTTGTTATCAATATTCTTTGAAACATGTGAAAGTGGAAAAATGTTTGGTATGGGAGGGTATTTTTGTCATTTACATCCTGCAAAGTCTTGTTGGGGAGTAGATTTGATTTGGTGTGCCACGTTGTATAGGTCTTTCTTTTTCTATCAGGCTTGTGGTGAGGTGAAAAGACTGAATTGACCCTCCACTAGTTCTGTCTTTGACTGACTCTATCATTTCAGTATTTTTTCTGTCTCTTGAATAGAAATGTTATCTCTAGCTTACCAATGATATTACAGTCTTTTTGAATCTCTCATGAAAGGTATTTGTCAAAGAATATATTTGATGATTTAGTTATGTTTGTGTGAAAGCTTTTCTCAAAAATCACTTATTATGTAAAAAATGAAATAGTTACAACTCTAAATTACAGGATTACCCTTCCCTTTTTCTAGCAGGTTCATTTATTGTTGTTGGGATCATGCATTTGTGATATTTTGAAAAGAATTGATAAGGGTCCTTTTGTAAAATTTGAATCAGTTTTTATTTATTTATTAGGTGCTTGCAATGGGAACCAGTGAGGAAGAGGAATCTACCAAAACTAAAAAGCCTTCTTCACCTGTAACAGTTGTGAGTTCTGATTTTTTGACATCAAAATATTGATATTCTTATGTTCTTATGCCTTTTGGTTTTTGTGATGACTTTTGAAGATAAAAAGTAAGAGAGATAGAGATAAACACATAAGTTTCATATAGTGTCTGTATTTTGATGTTCAAATAACATTACATAACATTACTGTTTGTAAAAAAGCTTGAATTTTGATGTATTCATGTACTTGCCTTATAAATAGGATCAGACCAATCAGACCAACCAGGCGAATATTCATGTCTATCCTGATTGGGCAACCATGCAGGTTACCTCTCTTTTTCCATTTAGTCCCTTATCTGTTAATGACTGAAGTACTCAGCTCTAATTTCTTGTTAGCTTAATTGCTAAAGCTGTGCTACTCTCACTTAGTCAATCACTGCAGCAATCGGGTGAAACCCGACAATTTTGTGTTATATATTTATATATCATGTGTATTGCCAGTTGCGGTTGAGGCTTGCCTCTAACTAATATCAAACTGAATTTATGCCTTAAATTGCTTCAAGTTACTGATTTTGACTCCTAGCTGGGTAGTATAGTGCTTTGGCCCTGGGTTTTTTCCTTGTTTAACAAAAATATTTACTTGGTCGCACGAGACTATGATTTTTTATCCACTTGAAAATAGTTTGCATAGAAAGTTTACAAACAAATATGTCCAATATAAACCGATTATCGTGATCTAAATTGTTTTCTTTATCTTCAGGCATATTATGGACCTAGAGTTGCCATGCCACCATACTACAACTCAGCTGTGGCTTCTGGTCACCCTCCTCACCCATACATGTGGGGGCCACCACAGGTAATAGCCTAGGTTTCAATTATTTTGTTATATAACCATCCTTTGTTTGTTTTATGTCTTAGTATATACCCTAGATGACATGAATGGGCAACTTTTCAACTTATTATTTCTTGCAGACTATGATGCAACCTTATGGACATCCTTATGCAGCAATGTATCCACATGGAGGGGTTTATACTCACCCTGCAGTTCCTATTGTAAGGCTACATTCTTGTGATGTTTTTTATAGGAACTAATGTTGATTGTCTGGATCATGGTTTGGTTCATATTTTACTGAAATCGATCTATAAAGTTTGAAAAGATATGGGATTCCAATTATGCTGCTTTTGTTAGCCCTGGGTGATTTTGGTGTTATTTGTATCTAGTTGCCACTCTTCTGTTATAACTTATGAATTCTTTATTTGTCGTCTTTTTCCCCACGGTCTTAACAATTATGTCTTGTGAAATATAGGGGCCGCATCCACATGGTCAAGGAATTTCATCTTCACCTGCTGTAAGTTATAGTTTTCTCTATAAGATCAGTTTCCAGTCTAGTCTTTGAATGCTATCAATTTATGATCGGTTGAAATTGGGGTGACAATGCAGACCGGAACTCCTTTAAGCATAGAGACACCTCCTAAATCATCTGGAAATACCGATCAGGGTCTGATGAAGAAATTAAAAGGGTTTGATGGACTTGCGATGTCAATAGGAAATGGCCATGCTGAGAGTGCAGAGCCTGGAGCTGAAAGTAGGCTATCACACAGGTTTGTTGATGTACACTATTTATTTATAAAGATTTTCAAGAAAATACATATATTCTATTTATTTATCTTTATTTAGCATGATATATTTTGTCCATAAGTTGGTTATTGTGGATAACCGAGCAATTTTATGGTGATATGAACAGTGTGGATACTGACGGTTCGAGTAATGGAAGTGACGGGAACACTTCAGGGGTGAGGACTTGCTTGCATTGCAATTCTTTTTCTGGACTTAGACCATATCAGTTGTTTACCTATAATATATTTTTATTTAAAACGATTTCGCAAAATTGAACCATTAAATTATGATATTTGCCCATCTTATGCTCAGGCTAATCAAACAAGGAAAAGAAGCCGTGAGGGAACACCGACTACTGGTATGACTCTGTTCTTCACCAAGTGTCACATCTTGATGAACAATAGAGTTGTCATGGGATCACATTTATACTTGTGTTGTCATCATGATGTCTACCAGTTTATTAAGTAGGGTTTTGATAAGTCAAATGGTATGATATCGTTGTTGCGCAGTAAGCAGTATTGCTCAAGTTTTTAACTTCCCAATCAGATCCAGACACATAGTAGACTCTATAGAGTGGCTTTTTTACCCTTATTTCAGATAATAGAGTTTTATGCATGAAATTACCAATTAAATGTCATATGCCAAAGATATGTTATCAGAATAATTAGTGTTTGATGGTTACATTTTTTCCTACTGTTTAAGCAGACGGGGAAGAGAAAACTCAGACACATGGAAGTGATGTTTCCAACGAAATTGTAGCTTCCAACAAGATGATGGCAGTTGCCCCTGCCGGTGTAGCAGGACAACTAGTTGTGCCTGCAGTTTCTTCTGCAATGACCACTGCACTGGAGCTGAGAAAGCCTTCCATTGTTCATTCTAAAACAAATCCTGCCGCAGAAGGTTGGTTACAGGTATGGTCAGCATATAATTCATTATAATAATTCAAAATCAATAATAGTATATTTCAGACACGTGCGAAACACAGTATCCTTGTCCATTTACTGACATTTAATTAACTCATGCTGGTATGTTTGGATTCCAGAATGAGCGTGAACTGAAGCGTGAGAGGAGGAAACAATCAAATCGAGAATCTGCTAGGAGGTCAAGACTAAGGAAGCAGGTATAAATTTTGATTTACATGAGAGACTATAAACCTTCTAATTGGTTCTTCAAGACACTATAATGCTCACATTTCCCCACTTCAGGCTGAGGCGGAAGAGCTGGCACGAAAAGTTGATGCGTTGAATGCCGAGAGTGCCTCGCTTAAATCAGAAATAAATCGACTGGCCGAGAGTTCTGAAAAACTGAAGATGGAAAATGCTGCACTAAAGGTAATGTTCACATAATATTTCCAGTGCATTTCGTCATGTTATTCTGCGGTGCTGATGCTAAGTACTGTATTGTTTTTTGTTGACTCAGGAAAAATTTAAAATTGCTCAACTTGGACAACCAAAAGAGATAATTTTGACCAACATTGACAGCCAGGCCCAGAGGATTACACCAGTAAGTACAGAAAACTTATTATCAAGAGTTAATAATAATTCAGGTTCTAATGATAGAACTGTGGAGGATGAGAATGGTTATTGTGACAACAAACCAAACAATGGTGCAAAACTGCATCAACTATTGGATACAAGTCCTAGAGCCGACGCCGTGGCTGCTGGTTGATAAAAAGAAACCATGATCATGTAATTTTGGCATATTACAAACCCAAAATTACTGCTAACAGTTTTTCTGAGGGATGGATCAGCTGAATTTTAGTATCTAAATCCATCAAAACCAGAACTAATTCATTGCTCATATCATGGGTTACTTAGGACAAAGAACTCTTTATTCTATTTAGATTTGACAAATATGGATGGCTTCTAAAGTTTGTATAATGAAGAGAATTAGATATTTTAGTTTAGAGAGGGATGTTGAAATCGTTACATAATATGGTGTGTATTAATAATTGGTGTGTCCCTTACAATGGTGTATTTGATAAAGTTGTGATGGTTTTTTCATTGTTTGCCTTGTAATTCTCATTATCTGCCTTTTTTATTTTATTTTGTTGCTTATATCTAATATAGGAAGGAGGGAGTGATCTTTTGTGAAGATAAGGGAGACAGAAAATCATGAGTTTTGACACTAAATGATTTGAATTTTCATAAAACTAATTTTGGTTTAAAAGGAGTTTAGCATAACTTGAAAGAGAATTTTACCTTCTACTATGACTTTGACGAGTTCGAGGATTAATTTTTGTAATCGTGCTTAGAGGTAGAGGATACCCAATTCTTATAAGAAAATTGAATTTCAGGTGAAGATGAAATATATATATTGAAGTAAAGAAAATAAAATATTTTATTACTAAAGGACTACTGAATGAAAAAAATATATTTTATGTTTTTAAAATGATTTTTATCTCACAAAATAATTCTATTAATGCACAATTCAATCTTTTTTTTAATTAAGGATTGGTAAGCATCCCTCAACAACTTTGTTTGAGAAACAAAAGATTCACTCAATTTGTTAGACTTACAAGCAGGGTGTTCAAAATTCCATTAATATGTGGTAGAGTTTCGCATAAATTTAGAATATGGTTTCAATCCTATTCTTTTGATTTATGGCTTGTTTGTTTTGCATGAAAGTGAAAGAAAAGAATAAACAAGCAAGGGAATTTTTTAATGCACAATTTAATTTTTTTTAATCATTACGCAAAAATACTTAAATATTTTTAGATTTTGAAAGTTGTGTTTTGCATTTTCAAACGTATTTAAATATTAGTTTATGTTAATATTAGAGATGCATCTTTGAACATATTTAAAGATGCATTTTCAAAATATTTTAGAGTTTAAATCGTGTTAGAATCCTTCTCTTTTCTCATTTTTCATTTCTTTAAAAACATTTTTAAATTCTCAATTTTTTTTATCATCGAATTTAAAATCAATCAACCAAGGTCAAAGAAACTTCATTTAGCATTAGAAACATCATTTAACACTGAAGCAAAGTTGAAATTGTAAATATTTTCATGTGTTTGGGTAGTTTTTGAATTTTTGTGTAAATATTTGAAATTGATGATTAAGGTAGGAAATGAGTAAAAGTTTGATGATTGATAGTTTAAAGTTTAAACACAGTGTAAAACATGATAGTTGCCTAAAAATGATGATCAATGAAATATTTTTTTGTGTGTTACCTTGTCTGCATTACCGTCATTCACGAAGCTTTTAAGTCGTAGAAAATTTCGGAGATACATCTCCGAAATTTTTCAACGTTTCATTTTTCCAGCAACCGGAGATGCATCTTCGAAATTTTCTAAGTTTTTTTTTTTTTTTTTGCTTTTCATGCTTGTGGTGTTGTTTGCTTTACTTTAACTTATAGACATAATGACTGATAACACAATAGATTGAGGCACGAAAGGGTTGAACAATACACATTAGTGCGACGGGAGAAGAGTCATCAGATCTTGGAGGCTCCTAGTCCCTCTGGCCATGCAGAGCCATCTTCCTCATGCTTCTCCTCATGCTTCTCCATCTTCTTCTTTCTGTAGGATTCGAAGTTCACCTACTGACGCATTACTCTCTCAATCATCCCGCAAGCGTCAAAATTTTCCTATTCAAGTTCCTGGGGTACCCGAGTCACCAGTGCCACCTCCTATTGCTGATATTGTAGGTGCTTCTGAGCCTGTGCCACCTCCTACTGTTGATGCTGCTGATACAGTACCACTTCTGGAGGGGAGGCTATTGCTGATGCTGAGTCAAAGGTATTTGAAAGAGGCTCTGTAGATTTGTCATTACTATCTCTGTACCCATAGCATACTTTCAAACATATCTGAGACGGAGAGGTAGCATTACCTGGAATCATTCTTTTTTATTTACGTTAATTTTAATTGACAAATTTCTGACATTGATTTTTAATTTTTTCAGGAGCTTGATCTGCCAAGTTTATTAACCACGAGAGAAAAATTATTGGCTTACCTCAGCCGAATGACGACTGGTTTCAGGCACTGTTGTCCTTATTTGGCCTGAAGGACTTGGACATGACCAGTTATACTACTGTCAACCACAAAATGCTTAATGCATTCGTGGAGAGATGACACTCGGAGACTTCATCATTTCATCTTCTATTTGGTAAAATGTCTATCACACTCGACGATGACTCGTGTTTGCTACATCTTCTGATAAAAGGGAGACTTTTAGATCATGAGAGGATTATCAAAGACGAAACACTCGAGATGATGATAGACTATATATGAGTTGACCCAGTGGAGGCGAATGCGGAGTTAGATAGAACCAGGGGTACTCATGCTAGGTTTGAATACCTGAAGGAGATATATGGGATTGAGATCTTGAGAGCACATCAGGCTACAACTGATGATGAGTAGATGAAACTCCACAAATCGCATGCTATGAGAGCATACCTGTTATATTTGGTTGACACTATAATTTTTGTGGACAAGAGTGCCACTTATACAGATGTCGTTTACTTAGGGTACTTCGAGGATTTCGATCGGATCCATGAGTATAATTGGGGGATCACTTGTTTGGTCTACCTGTACTCAAAGTTGTGAGAGGGTTGTATGTGGAAGACGAATCATGCCACATGCAGCATCACACTATTGACGATAATATTTATTGTTCTTTTAATATTTCTTTGTCATTTTCATTTCATCTTTGCAATGTCATTACTGATGATTTGTGTGTTTTAAATTTTTTATTTCAGACTTGGATCCTCCAGCACTTCCCGTACAGGCTTACACTCAGGATATGTCGCATGCTACTGTTTTTTCTCCGCTCAGAGGGAACCAGGCGATTGAGTCTTTCAGAATCTATCTTGACGATTTGGTTGCCGATGACATGCATTTCAACAACCATATTGATCACTGTGAGACATGGCCATTTGACGAGAGTGTTATTCTCTGGATGGTCATTTTTTGCATTTCAATTATATGATTTAAATTTGTAAATGCATACACGTAAACAAAATATAACATGAGGAGTTATGTTCTAATAGATTACAGAGATACATCTCCGTAAAATAATCAGAGATGTATCTCCAGAATATTCTAACGTCCAATCAAAATTTAGTGTGTCCAAAAATAAATCTCCAAAATCCGAAAGCATTTAAGTATTTTCGTATGATGGTTAAAAAACATAAAGAATATATTAAAAAATTCCCAAAAATAATGGAATTGGTTATCCTTTATTCAGTTAAAACCACTTGAAAACGAGAGATTTAAAGAAAAAAAGAAAATAATGACATTAGATATCATTCCTTCGGTTGGAACCACTGAAAAAGGGAAATGACTCCTTCGTGGATGGAAATCGAAAGTATGAGCATTATTTCTTAGCCAATATTAAATTCTTATGCTTGTATTTGCTATTATTTGACAATTATATTTGGCTGATTTGACATGACTTATGCCTATTCATGCCTCTCTTTTTAATAAATTTAGCCTTTAAAAAAAAATCAAATACTCATCTTGTTTTCTTCTTACTTTTCACTTTCTTTTCTTCGAATTTTTTTCTTTCTTTTCTTGCATTTTTATTTTGATCCAAATAAACCTTTATATATATATATATATATATATATATATATATATATATATATATATATATATATATATATATATATATATATATATATATATATATATATATATATATATATATATATATATATATATATATATATATATATATATATATATATATATATATATATATATATATATATATATATATATATATATATATATATATATATAAGGGGGGACCACCAAAAAACATGAAATGTGATAAAAAGAGATTAAAAAGTTGTTTTTTTAAAAGGACAAAAAAAATTATCAAAATCAATATAAAAGGATCAAAATTCTATTTATTAATTTATAATGAATTATATATATATATATATATATATATATATATATATATATATATATATATATATATATATATATATATATATATATATATATATATATATATATATATATATATATATATATATATATATATATATATATATATATATATATATATATATATATATATATATATATATATATATATATATATATATATATATATATATATATATATATATATATATATAAAGGTTTTTTTGATATATATATCAAAATTCTATTTAATAAATGGAATTTTGATCCTTCTATATTTTTTTATAATTCTTTTGTCCTTTTAAAAAAAAAACTTTTTAATCTCCTTTTATCACATTTCATGTTTTTTTGTTGGCCCCCCTTTACATGAAAGTCACATTTCAATAGTGTGAGCCAGGTGGAAAAAGAAGTTCTTAAGTTAAATTATTATTTTTTGGAAATGAAATCTGTTTGGGCCTTTCATCCAGTTCAACGATGAATCTTTCTGCCACCCCCTAAGTTGTATTTGGCACCCTTTAAAGGGGTTGTGATTACGCTTTTGTCCTTGTTATAAAATACTAAATTTTTTGGTAAATTTCAGATTTTTTATGCAGTTACCATATATTTCGTAAAATTTCCTGTTTGAATGTAGAATTATCAAATTTATTAAAAAATTACTGGATATTTTGCAAAAGTATGCAAAAATGTTGAACATTTGCAAAATTGCTGATAAAAAATGTAAGATTTTATAGAAAATTTTAAGAGCTTCCAGATTTTAAAAAAACCCAGAAAGTCCGATATGTTGTAATGAAAT